ATTAAAATATATGTCTTCTACCCCTCTTTCATCGTTTAAAAGAAACTTTTCGATCGGTAAACTCGTTGAACGCTTTGCCTTTTTTTTTTTCTAAGTACGAATTTTTAGTCTTCTGTGGTAACAAAAGCGTGGCTCAGTGGTTAAAGCGCGTAGCTGGAGAGATCTCGACATCGGGGGGCCCACGCAATTTTTGAAACTGTCATGAAGGGCAGCATAAATCACCGTACAAAACAAAATGGCCGATGTTCTCCAAAGACCACGTGATTAATAAATTAATTAGGTAAGTTAAATAATAATTAATTAAATCCTTCATAAATACTTACCGAATAAAATTAATGAATGCCTCGGCGATTCAGCACGCACGGCATGGCGGGAAAAGGATGAGTCATTCCAAAGGAACACCACGTGATCCAATATGGCGGGCGGACGTCACGTGATCCAACATGGCGGATGGAAGTCACGTGATCCAATATGGCGGAGGCCACGCCCCCGTTGCGTCATCCTTTGTTCTATTACGTCATGGCGGCATCCTTTTGCCGCATATAGTGGGGGGTATACTACTGATTGAGTAAATCATAACGAATAGTTTGGAAAGAATCACTGCTTCCTTCGAGAGTACATCAAAGAACTTCCGTTGCAATGTGCTCATAAAGAAAGAAGAACTTTAATCTCAGACGGTGGGGCATAACAGATACACTCCCGAAATGAGGAAAGGATGGATGGAGAAGTACATAAGAGGATGAGAGAGATAGTTAATGCATTGCCGGAGACTAGTGATCATCTACTACGGACTCCAAGATCAAAGGATTAGGAACGGGGAAGACGGGCACCACACCTTTACCATTTGGTTAATTGGTTTAGCGCCGTATTTATTACGTATTTGAATTTTCTTGCCAAGCAACTTATATCTTTTGATAATTACAGTAAATGAAACTTGTGCGATTTGGAAGGTTATATATTTATGACCTGAAAGAGTATATTCATCAGAGACTGTCCATTCTTGAATATATGGTGCTAAGGATTGATTGGATATTGTTAAGTCAGGCCATCCTATTGCAAAAACACGGTCAATAGAAGGATGTGCACGGATTGATTTACGCAAGTAGATTAATTAATATATTATTTATTTTGAGTCACAAAATTGTCAAAGAAAGAATCCTATAAGTTCTTTGGTTTCATATCGTATTCCTGAATTTTCTGTACACCTGCCGACTTGGCCCCGAGACTTTGTCCATCCACGATTTTAGTAGCGAAGTAGTCAAACTGCTTTACTTTGCCTATGGAAGCTTTCCTTCTTTACGTATATGTTGTTTGGCTTCAGGGTACCATACAAGTTTACAAGCTAGTAGATACAGTTTCCGCCCGTAATTTAATAGCACGAGCAGACGCTCAGCTTTCTGTATATGCTTCAACGTATATAAAGCTTTTATGTGCATTTCTTTAATTAACCTTAATTGTATTCATCGTCTAAAAATAAATGTGCGAGTCTATAATCCTGGAGTAATTATTTCCAAGCTAAGAAGACACTACACATATACATCGCAAATTTTCCTTTACATACTTCTAATTTTGTTCAAATGCATATTTTTCTAATATTTTGACATTTTTCTCTTCATACTATTCTACGCTCAGAACAGAAATATAGAAAAAAGATGAAACTTTTAAAATAGAAATTCTTTTTGACTTAATTTCATTTAACCACAGTAACATTTTAGTTGTATAAGCTGAAACATTAGATTTTTTTTTTTAGTTAAGAAGAGAACCAAAGAAGCATTTGTATGATTTAATTACCGTTCTGAATTTTTTAATTAAACATATTTTTAACGGTTAAGCTCTTTTTGAATTGTTAATCTGAAATTTCCGGATTGCAAGTTTTCTTTTTAATTATTCCGAGAAATGCTGGTCACCTTCACACATAGTCAGCTTAGAGTCATGATTGCTATGAGATGTGGGTATATTCACTGAAGAATTTTATTATAACATTCGACCTGATGTTTCTTCACTTCGCCGCCCTGATCGATACAGTGGTTACAGATTTTGACTGCTGTAGTCTTTGGTACGAGCTCAAATCCCAAAGAAGGCATGGATATTTGTTATTACTTTTGCATAATTTTAAGTGGTACTCGAATAAAGGCTCTATTGATAATTAAATCACTAAAATCACAAACATAAAAATATTCGATTAACTGCGACATCTGGATTGTTTAAAATCCCGTTTTCACGCATACTGACACGATTTAAAATTCAAATTCTAAATCTTTGATATGACTCATGATCGCAAATGCCTAGTTGTGTTCGCAAATGAATAAAAATTTTAAAAGCACTTCCTTTCTAGAAAATTCCTTTAAACATTTTTCTTACATCTTAATTATTTTTTAAAATGCAGTTTAAAAAATTAAGCCATTTTTGAAAATTGTAAAAATTATCAATTAATCAAAAGAGATTTAAATTTACAAGAATTTTAGCACGGGTCATTGTTCACTAAAGAAAAAGTTAAAAAGTCAGGATTGACATAAATTAATTAAATAAAGTTCGTTGAAAGAAATTTTCGCCAACTAGAAAATTAGTGCCAAGATTTAAATGCAGATATCGCCAAAACGGCTTGTATTATGATTAAACGAATCAGTATTTATACATAATTTGAGGCATAGGATAACTCCTTTGAGTAGCTGGTACTTTTCCATCTGCACACTTACAAATAAAGTGCATGTTGACTAACTATACTTTCGGGTAACGATATCGGTCGAAATTGGCACAGGCAATGACCATTCACGCTGGCAGAATGCTTTTACCTTTCACTTATTATCATATACCACTACAACACGCTAACATTTTCCGAACACCCTGTACAGAGAGAGCGATTACATGTGACAGTCACTTGTTTCGTTTCTAGGCTACAGCAATAAATCCATACTGGATATCTTTACTGGCCGCAGAAAAAAAAATTTCATTGCTATTTATGACAAACAGTTCTCGAAAACATTTGACCTGATGTTTCTTTATTTCGCCACCCTGATCAGTACAGTTGTTACAGATTCTGGCTGCTGCAATCTTGGGTACGAGCTCGAATCGCAGAGAATGCATGGATTGTTTGCAGTGTAAGTGCTATAGTGTCTTTGCGACAAGGGGACACTAAAAATATATGGCGAGCCAAAAGTCCTCTTAAATAGTTGGCGGTGGGCAAAGTGGGATGGAAGATTCTTCATCAAAAACTTGGGCGAAGCTTAATAGCCAGTGTGGAGGGACTACCACCATTGATGAATACTTTACTATCTTGTTCCTTCATTTCTAGCATAAATTCTGTACCTGTTTAGTGCAGACCTTAAACATCGCCAGCTTTTCATGCAAGATTTTTTCAATGGTGGTATAGGCATCCAAATTGATGCCTATTTTACCCACCACACATTTCTTCAATACTCGCAGCCACATTGCCGTTTGGTCCAGTGTGTATGTGATTATGGAAAAGCCTCGAGGGCTATCTGCCTAAGGGGAAGAATGCCTTCGTGGAGGACTTTCTAAGGGAATCTGGCTCGTATACACGTTATACATGGGGAAAATCACGAAAACGCCCATGCAGCCAGCCCGTTCACGGGATTCAAACCTCCGACCGGTGTTCAGCGACTTCACCGCTCGGCCGCTGGTGTGCCCATTTGGTCCAGGATCATTTTCAAGTGACTTCTCTCTCTTGTCTACAAACAGCAGCCTACTTTTTGACAGCGGGACAGGAAGGTGCTGCATCACAGCAAATTGCAGCCATGCGTTCATGAATATTTGTCGGTGCTGTGCCTTTTTCTACCAGCAGCTCAGTCACAGAAGATGATTCAATTTCAATATAAACACCAGCTGAGTGTGGTTTTCCAAAGGATGATGCAATAATTTCGCCCTATTTCGTCATTTCAGGAGTATCACATTATACTTAAGCTTAGAACTTATTGGAGGCCTCTTATATGTCTCGGATTTTACGATATCAATACCAGATATATTTATTTCAAAATAGTTTGTTAGTTAAATGACTAAAGCAAAACATGCCAGAGGTATCTGCTTCAGGGAAGGGATATTTTCGTGAAAGAATTTCTGCGAGGAAACTAACTCATATTAATAATATACATGGATAAAACCATAACACATCATGCAGACAGCCCACTCGCCAGTATTTTGAATCCAGGCAGAACTATCAGTATTCAATTATTCTTATCCAATCGGCTGTTCAATATTAAATGCATATCTTAAAATTTTCACATTTTCCGATATGTGAGGATTCATTGAAATAAAATAAAGACAATAATAAAAAACCCAGAATATTAAAATTTTATTACAAGAAGTTGACAGAGCTCTACATTATCAAATGAGAACCCAAAACAGCACATCAAAGATTACGAATGTTTTCATTTAATAATAAGTAGTTTTATTAATACATATAAAAACTTCGTATTTCTTGACAATATTTGCTACGCCCATTTGCACTTTCACGGATTAAAATAATTTTATAAGAAAAACTGGTAGAAATATGTACATAAATATAAAAATAAATCTTTTTCACAGAATAAACTTATTTTTGCGACAATCTTTATAACAATAATTAAAAATTTTAAATTCGTATTAAAAAAATTCAATCTTCCGTAAAATAATACTACTCATAAATTGACACGATTGTAGAAAGATAAACATAAGTATGACGACCACACAACATTGAATTTAGACATACCATGCCTTGTTAAAGAAATCCGAACCGGCATGTCACACTATCAATATTACTTACTGCAATTTTTTTCCGCCACTAACTTCTTATATTTGTATCGCTGATTCTGAAACCATATCTTGACTTGATTGGATGTGAGTTTAAGAAAATTAGCCAGTTCCTCTCGATCTGGAGCAGAAAGGTACGGTTGCTGCTTGAATCGCCTCTCTAATTCATGTAACTGAGCTTCCGAAAAGAGAATTCGAGTTTTTTTTCGAACGGAATAAGGAACGGGCTTCAAAATGGAGGTAGTATTAGTAGGCTGCAATTGGCTTTTAAAGCTGGAAGATGTTTTGATATGATTTTCTGCTACTTGTTGCCCAGTATTATGGTGGATTAATGGAGTAGTAGGAGAGTAAATTCTTGTTTGCCAGATAGTTTTCTCTAAAAAGAAAAAATCAGAAATTATTTTGATAAAAATTCAGTTCTGTAATAAATATGATAAAAATAATGATAATATTTAGACTTGCAAAACGACATAAAATGATCTAAGAAAAAATTTTCAAATGTAGCATTTTATTTAATGATTGGCGTTAATTCCCCCAAATTAATGATAATCTTCTAACATCAATTCCTCAGCTTAATATTTTCCTTTCTCGCATCGCTATTATTATTCTTTATACAACTATATATTTATAAAACTCTAACGTGATTTCAGCTACCCCATTTTACTTTTTCATCAATTTAGCAAGAAATGCTGCTAGGCAGATTAAAAAAAAATAACTTAAAATAATTATTAGGGCATATGGAAATTGGAGGAGGCGGAATCATAAACTCGAAAAATGATTTACACACGTTTTAGAAATTCCTACATTTTATTCACATCTAATAAAACATTTTGTAATATTTAAAAAAAAAATTCACCAAAGATAAAAATTTATAATATTTCAAAATTAACTTGATGTACAAATATTACATATTTTTTATTAAAACTAAATGCTCTAAGGCATGAGTATCATAAATTATTTTTATTTAGATTTACAAACAACTTTCTGTTACAGAAAATAATTACTATATAACCATACCCCCCCTCCCCCAAAAAAAATACGTCTAAAACATTTCAAATCTGAAGTAAAACATAACAGAGAGAAAATAAAATATCTATAAAAATTATAAATAATTTCATTTTTCATTAAAAAAATTCTAAATTCTAAATCTTATAATTTCTTAATTCTAAAATTCTTGAATTTCTCAAGTTGGCTGGCATTAGAGAATAGCCATCATCTTTTTATTTTACGTTAATTTTTTTACATATTAAATTTATTTAGATTATTTCTTGGTATATAAATTTAAAAAAAAGGGGGCAATCTAAAATGTTTAAGATTTTACATTTCGCTTAGAGGATAGTTTTTTCTTCATCTACACGAGTTTCGAGAGCATTTGGCTTAACGTCCCTCTGGGCTAAAAATATTTAAAAACTTATTTTTAGAATTTCCGATAGACAGTCTCGCGTGCTGGAGATAAAATATTTTATTTCGTACAATGTGTTGCCACTGCTCGTTCTGAAATCGTCGAGTTTCTTAATCAAAAATTCGTTAAAGTTTAAAAAATATGAATAATAAAGCAAACACGAAATTCAAGATTCGGGCTTTGAGGTACCTATATGCAGGTGGAGGATTACGTTACATTTAAAATTTGATGCCTCTATGTATCGTTGTTTTTTCACAATTCGAGAAACATACATACATTCGTGCAGATTCTTCGTTAGTTAATTTCTTTAAATATAAAACAGGGCGATAATACTTGGTGGCAACAATTTGAAAAGTGATACAGCGGTTTATAAAGATTTGACGAAAAATTTGGGATAAAAGGTGGTGTATTTAATTATGGCAAAGCACACTAGGGCTATCTGCCTATTGGGATAAAAGGAAAGAAATTAAAAAAGAATTAGAAGAAAATTACTTGGTATATACATTACCTTTAAAAATAATTTTTGATCAGTGAATAAGATAGTTTTAACTCTAAAAACAACTGAACCCCAGCAACTTATCAAACATTAAACATTTTCATCTTTGTAGCAACAACAATAAAATCAGAATTCTATTTCAATAAAATTAAAATCAGCCATGAAACATTTTCACTATACTTGTAGTCATATATCTTGCAACTGCAATTGCAGAAGATGTTTAAACATTTTTAGAATGATTTCGGGCTTTTTAATTAATGTTTGAATTGTAAAGAGTATTTTTCTAAATGTTCGATCTGATACCCTTTCTTCTTGTTGAAAAATAAGAATCTCGATTTCCATGATAGAAGGGCTTTTTATAAAATTTAAAGAGTACTAATTTCTATTCCTTTTCTACTACTTTCCAGAGTCCATCAATCGTGGTGAGTTTGTACTTAGGAAGAGTTCATTTCAAGAAACCAAACAGCGGTCGTGTGATAAAGTTGCCGAACACTCGGTAGTTCGGTCTGGGGTTCAAATCCCAGCGAACGGGCTGGCTACATGGAGGTTTTAGGTTTTCGCACGTGTAAGTTTACTTCATCCAAAAGCCCTCAGAAAGTTGTTCACGAAGGCACTCACCCCCTTAGACAGATAGCCCTTGAGTGCTTTGCTATAATCAAATAAACCAAATCAAAACAAAGCATACAACAGTTTATAGGTGACTTCGCTGGAATACATTGAAAGGGTATAATGCAGTATCACTTTTCAAAGTATGACTTGCTGCTTTGTCTTGAAAGTCACTGGGATAAAGAAATGGAATTCACCCCCCCAACACACACTAGAGAATCCTACATCACCTCCCCAACACACACTAGAGAATCCTACAACAATCACAAATCTCTTATTGAAGCTTGATGGAACCAGGTTTGTACATTTTTTTTTTAGACTCTATAGTTGACCGACCTACTGCAAAGAGCAACGTTGCCGGTTCCAGAATTAAAGCCCAAGGGCACATGACATAAAGAAATCCGGACGTGGAAAGAATCTCAGAAGAGAAAAACGGAGAAAAGGGGGAAAAGAGAAGTACCAAAAGGAACAAGACAATCCAATCAGCCAAGTTCGCAAAACGTAAAGAGCGATCAGAGTTTTCAAGAAGGATCCAAGACAATGCAGTTTCAATGACAACAATATGAGAAAGATACACTACAGCAATGGTTTCAGTGACAAGCTTAAAAACTTCAAAACAACCTCAATCAATACAACTAAAAACAACACAGTTCAACACAAGTATACAACACAATTTACAACAGCAATTCTACAACAACTTAAGCATCAAAGTTACAACACAACAATGTGAAAAAACTCACAGCAATAGTAACAACAATTTCCAAGAACAATATTAATACAACAGAAAAACTTCTATCAAGATCAGGTGCATTGGAAGTATAAACAGCTACTAATTTAGGAGCTAAGTGATAAAGTTGTCCCATCTCCTCCCATGAAGGTGTATGTTGCCAGTGGTCTGAGACTTCTATATTCGAAGAGAATTTCATAATTAAAGACTTGAGAGCAATTAACGAAGTCGCATTGCACAGCTTTGTTGAAGAATTTTTCAGTGGATCTTCTGATATATTCTGGAATAGTCTCAAGTTTTAAATCTCTATGTAAAAGTTCATTACGGATAAGAAAGTGTGAGCCAGTAATAATGCGCAGAAATTTGTTTTGCACTATTCGCAATTGATAAAGCTGAGTTTGAGTGACCGTGTTCCAAGCAGGAACAGCATAACAAAGTATTGGTCGAATGCAGCTGGTATAGATATGTCTTTTGGTATGCAAGCTAAGATTTGAATATTTTCAAATGACATGGAGAAATCTGCACATGATGCCCATAGCTTTGCTCTTGACACTTTTCATGTGGTTGGACCATGTGAGTCTTTGATTCAAAATAATTTCTAAATATTTAGCCTTTGTGACCAAAGGAACAGCTTCTTGAAAAAATCTTAAAAAACAATGTTTTCCTTAGTTTTGCTGAGGATTAAAAGTTGACTTGCTAATATTGATTTTTAATAGATAATTTTACATTTTGTCTATTCATTTTCGATAATTAATAAGCTTTTTTTTTTTTTTTTTTTTTTTTTTTAAGTCATCTAGGTAAACACATGCTTCATCAAGGGTCAAAATGTATTTCTCCTTGTTCTGCTTCAAGCACATGCCTTGGTAAAAGCTGGTGAACAAAATGTTTTTTTAGCTTTTTTAAAAGTTGTAAAGCTTGGTTTATTACTTTATTTTTGCTACAGATATATTTAAAAGATTTTGCAATTAGTTTCTTGTTGCCAACGATTTAATTTTAGATAAATTAGAAACAGTACATACCTTTTTCGGATCATCTTTCCACGTAGAAGTAACGACTGATGGTTTTTTTTCGATTAATAATGTTCCTTATTTTGTGCTTCGAAATTTTAATATCATGCATTTCACAATGTTTTTCAATTACCGAATAGGAACATTTCTCTTTGGAAAGTTATATCATTCAATCCGCTGCTTGTTTATATGCAACATTTAGAAAGAAGACTAGTAGCAGACGATATTTCTCATTTGAAATAATAAGCAGACATTTTTATTCCAAACAATTTGCCCCCCCTTTTTTTAACTCTTTATCGAAATCGTTCTAAAAATGTGTAAGCACTCTTATAGTAATTTGTAAATGAGTACACATCTGTTATATCTTCAATTAAAACAAAAAGGATACATAGTAACCTGAACATTCCTCATACTGTTTTAAGAATCACAGTTGGATCATTTCTCTCAAATAAATACAGCAAGAACTTACCTTCAAAAATAAAACAAATAGTAAATATATATATACTTAAGTATATATCTGAAGATGCATCCTACAGATTAAATTCTTTAAAGTCGGTATGATAGTGACGATATTGCAGCTGTAGCTTTGAAATATTCTAGCATTCATATTCATATGAATTTATGTCTATGAAATATTTTACATTTTTTCAAGCCTTTTTACATTTACTGTTTGTTTTAAAATCAGAATTTCAGTTTGGCAGTCTTGTATCCTTTACATTTTTGAAGGCTAAATATAAAAAGTTACACATCTTTCCCCCCTTTTCTACCTTAGCTTTAAATGCATCACATACCTAAAAAAAGAGCAAACATAAATTCTCAGCCCCCCATGTTCTTTATTTCATTATGATGGGCCAAAAGGGGCTGGGAGGATGATTGCCCCAAGTAGTTTTAAAAAAATTATGCATATTTCATATTTATTCCCAAGTCTTAAGATGCAAACATTGTTATGGCTAAAAGTTACAAAATAATATTTGATAAAAGTTTTTTTAATGACTTTATAACAGACATCTTTTGCAGGGAGGTTCTGATTGCAAAGTTCAAATAATTTTATCACTAGAACTCATTTTAGAGATTAAACTGTCAGTATAAAAGATAGCATAAGAAACACTAAATTTTCAAGTTGAGATTATTACACATTTTCATAGACAGCAGTGAGAGAATTTTCTATGTTTTGGATAATATGTTTTTATTATCAGCTCTATTACAACAATTCTTAACAAAAAGGCCCCAGAATGTTTATGTTAAAATTCTTACTCATTACTATTACTATTTTTATATATTATGAAACACAGTTCCAAATGCATAACTAATGAAATAAATTTAGCACACACTTATTTTATTTCCTATAATTTGAAATTAAAACCAATTTAAATAATCTTTGATTTAGCCAAATGGAGAAACATAATAAATTTTTAATATGTTGAAAAAATATTAAAAGGTCAAATATTTTTTTACACATGCATCTCATTTAGATACATTGCATTATAATTTAAAATTATCAAATAATAAATTTTATAAACTTCATCATAAATAAATATTTCATGACTCTTTTTTTATATGCTTTATAACTTGAAGGTAAATGCTCAAAATTATATGATGACAATTGTATTCCATTTTTCTACAGCACACAGAAGATGGCAACCCTAGAAAAAAATTTTAAAAGATATTATATACACAACTTTCATTGTTATTCATATTTTGCAATTTATTAAAATTTAATACATATACACATATAACTTAATAAATGGATTTCAATGCTTCATGAAAACTATTAGAGTAACAAAAAAAAAATCGCATTAATAAATAAATACCTATCAAAGTAAAAGAAAAAAAAATTTGTGATATTTCTAATATACATGAGACATCACTAAAGGTTATTACATTTTATTTAGGAAATTTAAAAGATTAAAACATAGCTTAAATTAAAAAGAAAGAAAGAAAAGAATGCATATCCTTGCATACAATTTTTGAGTTAGTCATATGTTACTTTTGGCAAACTCATTTAAAAAATGTATTAGTTACTATTAGCCATTTCAAATGTAAGTCAATAATTTTTTAAATGCTTCACAGTTTTTTTCTATTAAGCTTTTATTAACTGAAAGAATATTATCAATTGTAAATCATCTATTTGTTATCACAAGTTTTGTTTCTTTAACCAGTCATTAAAAGTTGACATGTTTATATTGTTCATGTACTCTATCAATGGAGGATATATAATTTTATTAATATCTCTAATGATTATTTGAAATGAATCAGTTCACATACACAAATACATATTTAGTAATTACAAAATGAAAGCACATTAAGTCACTGTACAAAACACATTCTTTCCTTGTGAGTAATTAAATTATTCTGTAGCATTACGTATAACTACAGTTAAAAACTTTATATAAAGAATGTCTTTCCTAAGACAAATACAGTCAGCTCCTGACAATCCTGTATTGTTTTAAAAAAAAGTTAAGCTAGTTCATTGTGGAACAATGGAAACATTACTATTGCAAACCATCAGAATACAGCAAAATTTTTACAAACAGTACAAAAAGAAGAAAATGCATAGGATAGTAGCAGTGATACAAATGAGGAATATATATATGCTAAATTATCCATTAAAAATAAACTGTTAAATTATAAAAATAAATTAAAAGTGTACAGCCATTAATCTTGCCTTTCCTATTGATTCGTACACAAATATCAGAGTAATATAAAAAAAAAAACTTGGTTCTTTCTGCTTTGAAACATGCTCTTGTTTTAAACGTTGATTTAGTTTATGTAACCAAGAGAATTTATTCCCCAAATTAAACTACATAAAATACAAGTGAACTGTTAAATAATATTTTTTACTTATCTCTGCTGTATTTTTTTCATCAACTGTCAGATTAACTATGTTGATTTTTATTATAAGCAGCAGCAATAATAAAAATGTGTCCTCAGTATTATCCCAGTTGATTGGGAGTCAGTTGAACATTAATTTTTACATTAAAAATTCAGAATTTTACATTATATTTGTAATTTATTATTGAATACTAAATAAAATGAAGTGAGAAGAGTCTCCATTCCTTTTGGGGGGGAGGGGAAGGCTGAAGTTTTACATAAAAAATTGAAAACTAGTAGTAAAGCATTCTTTATGAGCATAGGAATGAGTTTCTAAAAATAGCTGAAAATTTTACACCAAAGGTTATTTTGGGTACAATGTAGAAAGTTTCAGATGTCAAGACTTTTGATTTTTCATTTGGAAGTCTTTACGTTACAACAGTAAAACTCATCACAAAATTAAATACTTCTACACTAGAAAGGCTAGTAGAAATCTCATTTGAAATGGGAAGGGGAGGAAGAGTATTTATCACCAGTAACTGTGGCTTATCGCTAGAGAAAGAAATATTCAAATTGCATTAATACAGGGTGTTTATAAATGAATGGTATGAATTTAAAAATTAATGATGAATCATTGTATTACTTTATATGTGCAAACCTTACAGCATAAGCAGCAGCAACTGTCCAAATATTTGATGCATTAATCACAATATCCATATGTGCACCCTTGGTCACACGACACACATCTACATGGTAATCAAATTCTTACCATCCTCAGTATAGCATGTCTCCCACGACAGTCTGCAACGCATGCTTTATCTGACCACAAACTTCCTTAAGGGACACGAGCATTGACAGTACATAAACTCGGTCTTTAACAAACCCCCAAAGAAAGAAATCACATGGTGTTAAATCCTGCGAACGGGTGGCCATGGGAGAAGGTTGCTTTCTGCTGTTACAGCACGCCCAATCCAGCATTGGTGAAGAACATGATTCAGAAGCTCTTGCATATTCCTGTGAAAATAAGGTGGAGCACCGTCCAGTTGCAAAATGTAATCATCATAATTGGTGTTCAGTTAGGATAACAGCCAAGTTTCCCACATATCTAGAAATGAGTCACTGATCACAGTTTTTTTTTCAAAGAAAAATGGGTCGTGCTCTTTCTCGCGAGACAGTGCACAGAAAACATGAACGAATCTCATGCTGCACTGAAACCACAAATATGGATGCTTTAAAATGGAGTGCACAGAAAGCCTCTTCCTGCTGCAGATGCCATTTTGAAAACTGACACTGTGGCTGTGGAGTAAGCATGACAAGCAAACAGCAGTTAGCACATGAGAAACTTCCAACAGTTGCCAATGCTTATGGTGTAGGTTTTTACATGGGTTAGGTAATACATAGATTTATTATTAATTTTTAAAACAACATCATTCTTTTATAAACACCCTGTATATTAACTTGATTTTGAAATATATATTATGAAATATATCACAAATACATAGACAATCTCTTACAAAGATAGAAATATAAAAATAAAACTCATGAAAAGAGCTAAACAGCTAACACAAATGTAAGCAAAAAACAGAGCAGACAGTTTATTAAAAAAAGAGCAGTCAATCTTACTTTAAAAATTAAGATAAAAGAAAAAATATCAATTAATTTTTTTTTCCCTATATGAAACAAATTACATAAAACTAAGATAAAAAAAAAAAAAAAAAAAAAAAAAAACCTAGAAGGACAGTTACTAGAATAAAATTATTCAACTCCATTTAAAATAAAATTATTTCACTCTATTATATAAACTCAATATCGGAAATTAATTTACACACACTTCACATATTATAAAATCAATCCATATGAAATATAAGGAATGGATAAAATAATAAAATAATAAAACTACATAAATGTTAGATAGTTCTCAAAAGAATAAACTCAAATTTAATTCAACAATTTAAATATAAGAGAAAGAATTGCATATGATAAAAAGTCTATATAGTAACCTTGATCTTTTTTATAAGAACATTATAAAAATAGATGCAAAACAGTATACAGTTTATAATGCTACTCAATACAATATGGTTTGGAACATCAAATATAGTACAAAACAGCATAATGTATTGAATAAATTAATATAGGACAAATATTGATTTTGATTTAACCATAAATACATATAATCATACACATTTATTTTTTGTATGCTGCATACTGCACTTTACTGTTTTTTACTCACATAATAGATATTTTTTGATTCATTGAAAAATGATCAAAAAATGTCAAATATGCTCACAGAATAAGACATCTAATTGCTACATTTAGCCACATTTTTTACATTGTAATAATGAAACACTGTATTAGTATTACAATAATCACAATTAATATAAAAGTAAAGCTTCATGTTTTCATATTACATAAACAAGCATGTTTAAGACTGAAAGTTAGAAATACATAATATTTAGGTTCATATATCAAAATTAGTACACTTGCAACTTGTAATAACAGTAAAACAGTTTTTTTTTATATGAGAAATTAAATCTTAAAATGGAATAATGAAATCACACACTTAAAAATTACGTAATTTTGCTTGATTCCATGGCTGCTAGTCAATAATTTTCAGAAACATTCAAATAAAAGAATGGATGTTTCAGTTCTGTTAATACAACTGATGCTGAAGAATTTTCATTTTCTTCATTACATTAATTTTGTTCTTCATTATAACTTATTTAATCATATTTAATTAATTTTCATTATTTATTTATCACTAGCTTCTTTTTTTTTTTTTTTTTTTTTTTAGAAAGTAGTCTTTGTCTGTATTAACTACACAGATAACATGCTGAATACATTTTTGAAACTGAGCAGCAAATTATAACATAATGTTTTCATGCAGCCTATGGTAACAGCAGAATGTATGCCCATAACAATAACGTCTGCATTTAAAATTAAAATCAATATATAAATAAATGTAAAAAAGACCTCCATGATAATACAAATTGTTTTTATTTATACTTTTGAACTTCCAAATGATATTCAGATAAAAGAAAGTCAGGAAATGACTAAACTTTATTTCTTTTGTTTAAAACCTATCATTATTTATACATACATGGCCAAAAACATAATGTACTGATATAAATGACAAGAAATAAGGAATGAATCTTAAAACTGAAGTTTTTTTTCCAAATCATTAATTATTTCAGAACAATTTTTTGAAAATATTAATTTTAAAAAAATGCACTTTTATTGTTAATAAACCAAAATCAATTGTTAATAAATATTTGCTGGAAGTATGTGAATGTTTTATTTTCTTTACCTCTCTATTAGAAGCAATGAATTATGGGACATAACTTAGCATCAAGAAATCATATTATGTAACATAATGTATTAGATACATATTACATTACAAAATTGGATAAATATGGTACACACCATAACTTACTGTATGAACATACAGTACAAATTAATTTCAATGAATCAATAAAGTAGATTAATGATTCCAATGGACTTTAATTACATAAAGTAAAATTAGTTAAATCTCAACAGAAATAAAAAATATCTGAATTCTTTCAGATTATGCCCAATGGGGCTTTTTTTTTTTAACATTTTGTGTGCTTCCTTTATTTATTAAATATCATGGTCTTTGCACTTAAGCCATAACGTTCAATTCAACAGCAATATTATTGCAAAATAACCTAAAAAAAGGCGTATCTTTAGAATTCCAGATAGTCTTGTGAGCTGGAGATAATTTTTTTTTCCCCCATACAGTGTTGCTGTTGCTCGCTTTCAAATTTTTGAATTCCTGAATCAAAAACTCATAAATGCTTTACAAAATATGAAATAGATAATAAAAAAATTATAAATTACAATTCTGGGCTTCCAGATGCCCATATTCGGGTCGAGATGTATGCCATTCAAAATTTGATGGCTCTAGGTACCATTGTTTTATCACAATGCAAGTAACATACATACATTTATGCAGATTCTTCATTATTTAATTTCTTTAAATATAATACAGGGCGATAATATTTGGTGGCAACAATTTGAAAAGTGAAACAACGTTTGTAGTGAATCAATGCAAAATGTCAAAATGAAATTAATAGTCCTTCTGGGCAAATTGACCATTTGGACTAATAATGAACATCATCAATGGCTTCCTAATCTTAATAATTACCTAATTTAATCATTAATTTGTAACTAAATTTTAAAAAATTATACATGTGAATCAGTGATTACATAATTATAATATTCTTCTTTGAGTCGATTTTAAATTAAGAGATTTCATACACTACTTTTGAATGATATAAAACTCTAGAAATCTTTTTTTTTTAATGCTAAAGGGAGGAAATACTGGTATACTTTTTTTAAGATTGAAGGTTTATTTAATATCATACAAATATTAGTGCATTTGTTTTTGCATATGGAAAAATAAAATAATTTCTATGTCTGGCTATAAATATACCAAAAAACAAGGACTTCAAATAAAACTGAATTTGATTTAATCTAATCCATACTGCTCAATATTATAGTAAAACTTTCAATTACTACTTAAAAACTGCTTATGCAGTTAGAATTAAAAATGGCAATTACTACATGTATATTTCATCTACTCGCATACTTCTTACCTCGCATTAGCACATGATTTAGTAAACATCTGATTTAAAGTACACCATGCAGGTATGAATGGAGAGCAAAGTAAAATATACAAGTAGAAAGAATAGCACAACAAACAACTGAACTTTATCTCACTTCTTTCATATTTTCAGTAATTCAATATATAAAGAAATAACGATATTCAGGATTAACGAACTTCAGTGATTGCTTTCTCAGACACAAATTTGTTTATTTAATAGGAGTTACAATTTCATTTTTTCACATATGAAATAAACAATGACTAAAGCTTGATTCTTGTTCAACCTTAATTATCATAAAATCCATATTTAATACTAATACTGATTTCAAAATTATCAAAAATATATTTAGACTGTGATATGCATAAATATACCAAAAAACAAGGACTTCAAATAAAATTGAATTTGATTTAATCTAATCCATACTGCTCAATATTATAGTAAAACTTTCAATTACTACTTAAAAACTGATTAACCTTTAACAGTACAACCTGGACCTTTAACAGTACAACAAACCCACCATCAGCTGAGCAGATAAAACTACTAAACACTAATAGTCGAAACCAGGTTCGAATTTTGGTGAATTGGCTAGCTGGGTGACATGTGTAGAGTAGACTTTAAGGTACCCCTTGTATTATGGCGAAGTTGTTGTTTGATTTATCGCCAAGTTGTTGTTTCATTTATGGTAGTCTGAGTAGTTGAATATTATGGAAACCCTATTGTGACGTAATCGGGTGCATGATTCTGGGAAATTTTGAATCACGGGATGTTTTGTAAGCGTTTTTGTGGTGTGTGTTAAAACCGTTTAAATGGATTTGAATGGGTTTGTAGGAAGAAAGGTTCAGATGGTCACTATGTGAAGCGTTTGATCAGAAAGAGTACCTGGTTTGAAAAAAAATCATTTGAGTATGATTGATATTTTGATTTTTACGTGGCTCTGGGTGTATGAAGTGAACTCGAAAATCATGGCAAGTGAATATTTGCTTTTGGTAGTGCTTAAATGTATAACATGTTTTTCCTTTTTTATGTTATTTTATGGTTTGGTTTAAAATGTATTTTATTGAGATTATGTATTTTTTGTTTGCCTATATTGTAGACTTTGGTGCTCCTTTGACTTTTTAAGTGAAAATATATCAATGTGTACATGGACAAAGTAAAGGGAGTGCGCAAAGCAAGCTTGTGCAATTCTGGGATTTTTTTTTAAGTGAAAATAGGTCGACGTGTACATGGATAAAGTTAAAAGAGTGCACAATGACATTTTTGTGATATTCGGGGATTTTTTTAAGTGAAAATAGGTTGACGTGTACATGGATAAAGTCAAAGGAGTGCGCAATGCCATTTTTGTGCAATTCGGGGGGTTAAGTGAAAATAAGTCGATGTGTACATGGATACCGAGTTTGTGCAATTATTTGTCTTGTTATTTTGGCTTTGTGTAGCGCCGATTTTTGTCTCAAAAATCGCTGCTTTGCTAGCTAAAATAATGAGTCAAAGAATTGCACAAAATCGGTATCCATGTACCGCCAAAATTCGCCAACGGGTACCCTAAACCATACTTTTACCGGTGACACTTTTATTGTTTTCCCCACAAGTAATGTTAATACGAGCTAATTTCCCTAAGACACAGCTCCATAAGGGCATTCCTTCAATTAAACAGATAGCCGTAAGTGCTTTGCCATATCTAATAACTCAGAAATCAGCAGCATCAGTTTATGAAACAGTGTTTAACTATAATATACTACACATGCTACTCAGATGATCAAATACTTTAGCATCTATGAAAGATAATACAATTATATTTAACAAGAAAAATAAAGAAGCAATTGTGAAGACATACTATTCTTTATAAAAAATACATAATACCTGAAAACAAAATGGGCAATTAATATAAGATGAAATTAGCTCTGTCATACAGACATAGTAATCTGAGTTTTAGACACAAACAGTCTCTGTATCTTTAGCTACGATCCTTACCAAATTTATAGTTATCAGTGTAGCAATTTTCAAACCTCAAGAATTAATCTTAAAACATTAAGTACTTTTCATTCCACTCTATAAAAAAGGAATTGCTAATCATAAAAATGTTTTGCAGTTTAAAATTTTAAGTTAAAATTTCCCTCAAAAAATATATTTCTAAGTACAGGTATCCTCTCTTTGATAAAAAGTAGAGTTTCCATTATATTTTCTATAAGTCAAGAAAAAGACATAAAAAACAAAGAAGCAGCTACCGTTAATGTACAACGTAAGAAGATTTCAATATTCCAAAGTATTTTAAAATCTTCTTACTTCATATTAAGTATTGCCGTGAAAAGTAAAAGAAAAAGTCACAAGCTAAGTATACAATCAATTAAAAAAGTAGTGTAGATGCCAGTTAAAAGCAATCAACCTTTATCACAGATGACTTAGATAGAGGTACTGACAAACATTACTGAGTATAGAAACAAGGATTCATGGCAAAAACGCGAAGATCATTTTTTTTTTTTTTTTTATGCCCTTCATTATATTTATTAGTAGAGTATGCATATATTACACTTTCTGTCAGAGCCAGATTTACGTATAAGCTACACCATAGAGCTGCACAAGCTATAGATTAGGGCCTCCCACTTTCTTGGCCTCCTCCCAAAATTAAAATACAGTATAAATAGTATTAAAATATAACAGACTTATAAAGGGCCCCATATCTCAAATAGCTTAGGGTCTTATCAAGTCTAAATCTAGCTCTGCTTTCTATATCTGCCAATACCAAATTCAAAAATCAAAATTTGTATGGCTATCTTGCTGTGAAAAAGCTTGAAATTAATATTTATTTCCTTTAGCTATTACACTTTTCTATCTTAGAGTTCTTCAATGGCAATTAAAAAACTGAAAACTACATTAGTTCTTTCACAATTTAAGATATATTTTTAATCAGTTATGGCATACAACAAATACTGCATGATGCTTTCATAAAAGCACAAGATCTTCAAATTTCTTTCATTCAATGAAATAAACATACCAGTGTAAATCTTTGTAAACACAGAGCTGTAAGTACTGAATAAATTGTAAAAAGTAACCAAAACAAATTAAATATAAGCATCTACACTGTTTCGAAACACACAAGAAATTCTCTAGTAGTTACACAATTATTATAATCAATTTCATAAATTTTAAATCACCATGAATTAATTATAAAAATGGGACTAGCAAACAACTGGTTTCTCATATACTTTTGAAAAAGTACTTCAGTTTTTGTCAGAATAGTTAGAATTCAACCAGAAACAAAACAAAGATCCAAACACAATATGTAAAGTTACAAATTCAATGAGCAATAACTTGAAATTAAATACATTCATTCATTCATTCTGAAATTACCAGTTTTGAATTAAACTGAATAACCTACATGTTAATTTAACACCTCAAACTTTAAAAACCACATTTCGAAAGAGTTATGTCCTACGCATTCACAGATACTTGCTAAATATCAAGAGAAAGGCAGGTATTTGTCAAAAATCAGATGTCCGGTTTCGACTAGTCGCCACAAACCACGACACTTTTTTCGAAGTCAAATGTAAACAAACAAGATGCACTCCACGAGACACCTATAATGGCGGCGTGTCCGAAAGTGAAAAATATTACGGTCAACTGCGCAGCTCAAGCGCTTCGCTCGCAGACAAGGAGTGATGTTAGCTGTACTAGTTCAGATTGACGCTTGAGTTCAAATATCGCAATGAAAATGTTTTCTTAAGAATTATTAAACCCGCCATTTCAAAATTTTCGTGTACGCAAGACATTCTTTTGACAGAGACACACATACTATTGTAAAAAAATATATTTAAGGCGGGGAGGGATAAAGAATAATACATTGCAAGTAAGGAAGCTGTGCGTATTAAAAAAGTATTTAATGTTTTAAAGGTAACCTAAGATAAATTTGAAATTCCTTAAAATTTACATTTTTTTCCATGCAGAGAGTAATGTTTAAATTTCTCTTTGATGAAATTATAAACCAATATTAAATTTAAATATGTCACGAAATAAACTTTTATTAAAAAAATAATACTATGTATCGATTATGATTTATTATAGATTTCACGCCCGGTGAATAAATAAGATTTTGTTTCTTTAAAAAAAGCGATTCACAAATGTTTATGTTTTCAGGAATAGCTATTTAACAAGTTCTATTCCTTTTTAAATTTATAATTATTGTAAATAAAAATGTAAGATATTATTTATTTTGAATTTTGGTGATGTCACACTTCCCCACAGGTGGCATTTTGCGTACATCATCCCTGCGGGAACATGAAATTTTTTAACGGGTGTATCTAATAATGAACAATAAGCGACACTTATGCACATTCTGTCAGAAACAATCAATCAGCTTTAGGATTTTTCTTAAGTAGCGTCCATTTCTGCTCTGACGGTTGTTCTGAGTCCTTTTTAGTGTATTATTAGATTTTTTTTTCGACTTTTTCTTAGAACATTTACGTAAATTAAATTTCACCCTTATTGAAACATAACGTTTTTCATTTACACACACGTGCAAGTTTCGACAGCATGAAAGTTTCTCATATTTATGAGCTAAAAATATTTTAAAAACAGCATACTATCTTTAGAATTTCCGATACATAGTTTCGCGCTCGGGAGATAAAAGTGTTTTATTCCATACAGTGCTGAAGCTGCTCGCTTTGGAATTAATCAAAAATTCGTTAAAGTTTTACGATGATGAAATAGATAATGAATTCGATGTTCAAACTTTGGTCTTCCAGGTGCCATACTCGAGTAGAGGACTACGTTATTCAAAATTTGATGGCTTTAGGCACCATTGTTTTTTCACACTGTTAGAAACATACATTCACTCATTCAAATTCTTCATTATTTAATTTCTTTAAACATAATACAGAGCGATGATATTTGGTAGCAACAATTTGAAAAGTGATTAAACGTTTTTAGTGATTCGATGCAAAATAGTGTTTCAAGACTAATAACCTTCTGGGCTAGCGCCCCTTTGGGCTAAAAATTAAAAAGAGCGTCGTTCTTTTTAAGAAAATATAATTCAACGGAAATATAATTTTATATAATTTAAAGGAAGCCATTTTAATTGCACATTATTTTTTTATTTAGAAAAAAGATCAGTTAAAACGCTGATTTGTTTGTATAATGTTGCTCGCAGTATATGTAAATACAGTACTACGTACACTGCATATAGTACATATTAGAATATTATTTGGATGACAAAAAATATATTTTATTTAAAATTTTTAATATTTGGAATATAAAATAAAAGTAGCAAATCCATTATTAAAGATACTGAATTAAGTACACAAAATTTCACGCTCATAAACTAGTTATAAAGCTATTGACCTTTGTTGTATCTTGGAGATATTTTGACATTTTAAAGATACCTGACTCCTTAAGGTAGTTATCCTTCTTTAGACATTAGCATATGCATAATATAAACATTTTATTTAAATCTGTATTTGTGCAGTCCAGTAACTTAAAATTTTGTAAAGCGAACTGATAATCTAAATCGTTGCTCCAAATTATCAAAAAATAATCAAGAAGATGTTTTGTGCGGAACTGCCACTAAACTATACAAGCTAACCCATCCAAACAATGACTGTTTCGTGTGCGCAGGTGTTTCTTATTTTTGTTTTGTGCGTAAGTGCCGCTAATAAGCATGAATTTTCATCCCTTCCTGTTCCTAAAACAAGTTTCAGAATCCCGTTTTTGCAGACATTTGACGAAATACCTAATGTAGACTTGCTTAAGATAAACACGGCCTAAGCAGCGCGCTTATAGAGGCCTTTCCTAATGTTTACTTTCCTTGATTTTATGAATTAAAATACCTAATTCAGACTTCATTAAGATAAACAGGACCTTAGGAATAGCGTATTTATAGGGGCTTCCAAATGCTACTTTTTTTATTTTATGAATTAAAATACCTAATGCAGACTTGATTGAGGTTAGCAGGGCCTTAGAAACAGCTTCCAAATGTTCATTTTCCTTGATTTTATGAATTAAAATAAAATTATGAAGAGCTGCTATAAGAAGATTCCGGGTCCCCGTAAAATGTGACCTGAGCGTTTTTGGCCTAGCCTGTATCAGCCTTCGCATACACATAAAAAGGCCTTGAAAATAATACTTGTTGTTGTTTTTGCGCCAGATTTGAAATAATCACATGTACATACATCACTTTCATTCTTTTAAAAGTACAGATTTCTGTTTAAATTAAGGCAGAATTCGATCTTAAAACTGACTTATTTTAAATTAGACACGACGTATCTGTTCGTCAGTATGTAAATTTTGCTATTATTAGTATATTACAGCAGAATATTTTTGCTCTAAGAAGAGTGATTTAGATAGTTCTTCTTTAATTCGATGAATTTTTTTTTCTTTAAAATCAACACCAGTGTAAAGGCGAAGTTTATCGCGTCTTAATTTTCAGTTGCAAATTCCTTTCCTGCATACAGATTTAGAATTATATTAAAGGAGCATTTGATGAAAAATTTGCATTTTTGTGACTCTTTGTTTCTGCGAAAATAAAGATTTTTTAGTAGCTTCAACACTTTCTTAACTGTAGAGATGGGCAAAAAAAAAATGTTTACTTCAGAATGAAAAATTTGAAAAAAAAAAAGTTCCCATTCATTCTTACAATGATCTTTTATTTGTTATTATTCTTTTTACTTCCTTGTACGAAGCAAAAGGAAAAATTTTGTAATCGCGAAAAATTTCGGGTATCATATTTTAACGAAAATATCGATTTTGACCGCTATCCAAAGCAATTTAATGATGTTTTTGCGTGACATCCGGAAGTAACGGCAGAATAAAGGACTCTTCCCCCCCCCAAAAAAAATTATAAAATTGATTTAAAATGAATTTTGAAGATAATTTTTCGTGGCGTCTGTGCGTACGTACGTATCTCACATAACTCAAAAACGAGTAGCCTCAGAACGTTGAAATTTTGTATGTAGAACTGCTATAACTGTATGTCCCTCATCTTTTGTTGGCAATCGGCAGCACCAAATATATAAATATATAAGGTAAAAAGAATATTCTCATGCTTTTGCTTTAAAGCAGTATATCCACTCTGTTACTCGGCTCAGTGAACTCAGTTTCTTTATTCTTATATCTTTCTAAATTGTGCATAAAAATGATTGAATTATGTTGTTCTTATCTTCCGGTTAAGGTTTTTATGCCTTTAGTAAATCTGCATGCAATACTTTCAGAATTATCAAAAATTTAAAAGTTGTTTAAGTGCGGGCTAAGCCTATTATTTTATTATAGCAGCGATGTTTGTTTACATTTGAAACTTAGCAGAATAGTGGATTTGTTGCCCAATCTAGAAAACTAAGCTTCGCAACAACAAAATACGCCTTCTTTTATTATTGTCGAATTAAATCATGCTTAATCCATTCTGGAATTTATTCGAGGATAAGTGTTTTCAGATTTACTTCGTAATTTTAATATCGATATTAGTTTTTATTATTTTTGCCTTTTCGGGAAGTGAGAACTGAATTATTTGAATAAGAAATACTGAATCATCTGTGAATTTTTTTTTTTTTTTTTTTAATTTCTTTATACAATCGTTTTGATTTTATAGATTTGAATAGACATGTGGCAAACGATTATATTCTTCAAATATATAAATTTATATGCATTCTTAGTTATAATATGGCGTAATGTAACCTGTTAAGTGAACCTAGCGCCAAATGTCGTTATGGTAAACAAATATGATTTTTTAAAGATTGCATTTATGCTATTGGGTTTATTCGGTATCGACGATGTAGATTTATTCAATCCAATAAGTTTAAATGAAATGCAATAAAAATGCGTATAATTTAATATTCCGTACAAGGAAGTCATGTGGTATACACAGATTTTTTTTTTTTTTTTTTTTTCTTTTAATGTTATAACTTCAAATTCAGTTATTAAAGCTTCTGAGGAGGAGAAAATATCAAACCAAATTTTTTTGGTAGTACAACACATCATATATTATGCCTTATTATGTATATGTTAAGTTTTTATCAAATTATAGAAGTACGTGTTATCTAGGTGTTGCTTGTCGGAACATCGGAACTCAGCTAGTTTTCGTAAATGTAAACACATATATTTATATATCTGTAATGAATCCGACACTCATTGCAAGGAAGCAGATTTAGGTGCAATAATACTGTAGAAACAGCTGATGACATAGATGGAGAAATACGGCATTTCGTCATTGCAATGAAGCAATAAACTTAGAAGTAATGATATAGAAATTTTGATTGAATATAATGTTGCTCCATAATTAAGAGCAAACTGAGCAGCTGAGACAAATTAAATATTCATCTTTATTAAAAAAACATTTTGCAACTACAAACAGTTTGTCACACTACTCGTGCCGATTTCAAAATGTTTACATTTTTGATAGCTTTGCAGCAAGGACAGAGCAGCAAGCTGCAGTCCAGCTAGGCCGAAGTGTGGAAAGCAAGCGATTTGTGTTCAGGATGAAATTTTAATTCAGAATGAGTTCGTTTAGCTTCTCAATGCATTTAATTAGATAATTAATACTACTGTAAAATTAATATTGCCTGTCTGAGTTTTAGCTCCATGTACACTATGCAAATAAATAA